AGCTGTAAGTTAGCTATACTAGATCTTTATTTAAGGCTTTATATCTGAGAGTTTTAAATTCTACTTTATTTTGGATTTAAGAGGAATCCAATGAAGAGAAGATAACATTGGAGAAATATGATCTTGCCTTTAAATTTCATCAGAACTCTGGTTTGCAGTATTCAGGATCAACTAATGGCTTTTAACCAGTTTGTGGATTTTCTGATAGTAAAGAACTACAATAGTCCAGGCTTGAAGCAACTTAACCTTTTAGAGCAGGAGTCTTCAACGTTTTCGAGGCCAAGGACCCCCAAACTGATTGCGAGATGGAGCGGGGACCCCCTAATTATATATATTGTATGAAATTGTGTTCTATCAAACTGGTCCTATAGTCACTTTATTACATATGAAGTCATGTAACTAAAGTCATTTCTCCCTGGGATAATAAAAGCATTTCTGATTCTGATTGATGGGACAGGCGTTGTGAATGAAACGGTGCCCAGGTTTGAAAGAGCTCCTGTGTGTCGCTGAATGTGTGCATTGATGACTGAAAGACATCTTCTGCTTTCATTTATCTGTTTACTACAGTGTGTTGAATTCATGTTAATGTGTATTTGAAGACATTTTAATTAATGCATAGAATTGCAGGAGGGAATATAAAAAAAAGTAATCAACCAAGACTTTTGCGACCACCTGTTGAAGACGTCTGTTTTAGAGCATTTAAAAATGCATGTCCAGACATCATCCCAGCATGTCTGGACAAGATATTTCCATGTTCGGCAATAATCCAGAGATCAAATAAGGACAATTTAGAAATCCATTTGATATTTGATTTAGATAACAAATCCTGATTAAACATAACACCCAGATTTTTAATGTTATCAGAGGCCAAATATACCATACAAAGGACAAAGTAGTTTCTATTTCAGAGTATGGTCCAAACGGAATAACTTCTGTCTTGTTTGAATTCAAAAGCAAAACCACATTTATTTAAAACCCTGAAGTCTTCCTGACAGTTTAACCAGGATTCATGGTGAAATCTAACAGCATCATTAACGTCATAGACATTCAGTGCAATCATTCTGTTACTAGAACTTAAAACAAGTTAGTCTTTTAGCTGCCAATCTGCACAGAGATGGCAACTTTTCTTTTTTTAGCTGATGTCCAGGTTGGGAAATATTTTATTTTTTCTAGCTTCAAGAGGTCTCAGACCGTTAATCCTTTAGAAGGGGCATAATATGGGAAACTAATGAACAGGGTGGTACCCAGAAGGTGTTTTCTTGCTGGCTGGAAGAAAATACATATAGTGTTAAATGTATTATTTCGTCCTTTAAATACCCATAGCTGACTCTATAAAAAAAAAAACTATAGGACCCTTAAAAGTAATACCGCAGCACTGCCTTTGATAAAAAAAAACTAAAGCTGTACAAACTATTTTATACTGCTGACTTTTTTTAACCTAAAGCTTATAGGTTAAAAAAAGGGGATTGGCAGTCTAGTGGTTAGGGCATCGTGCTTGGAATGCAAAAGGTTCTGAGACCCACTCTCACAGACTGCCACTCATGGTCCCTGAACAAGACCTTTAACCCCCACGCTGCTCCCCTGGGCTCTGCACAATGGCAGCCCACTGCTCCCCAAGGGGATGGGTTAGATGCACAGAGTTAATTTTGTTGCTCTGTGCTAGTGATACTGTAACTAAATTCAATAAAGTTGAATTCTTCTTCCTTTTAACTATACAATAAAACTTAAGGATTGAAAGAAAAAGCAGCAAACAAAGCTGGTAGCCAAAGCAACCGACATTACTGAATACCTTTATTTTACTTACAGAGTTGAACGTTTATTCCAGGTTTCCTAACAGTGAACACATTCACGAAGCACAGCTACCAGAAACTACAAACAGTCCAGGATGTGAAATGTACACATGGTTTTAGAGAGGGAAACATCCGGCACCGGCTGCAGCGCGTTTCCACCAGTATCACCACAGCTGCGCTCAGAACAGATTGTTTCTTCTTCTTGTTGTTTGTTTATGAACCTTTAAAACGGCACAATTAACTCTAGTGCTGATGATTATCTATAATGTCTGGGTCGCAGCTTTCTGCTTAGAGAGAAACAAGGAGACTGGAGCGATGATGACGTTTGCTTTTTTCAGCCAGATGGATGGGTAGTGCAGCTCCCAAAGTCACACACAGTCCAGCAAGTCTGGGATTTTTCTAGTTCTCCAAGTCTGTACTTGTCAGTTATTTTTCAGCCTTCTGTGCAGGATTGTAGCTGATGGAGAAACTGTACAAACCATTCATACAAGCTGCAGGACAAAGGGAATGCATCATCACAACAGAATTATCACTTTTTTTTTTTTTTTTTTTTTACATTTTCTACTGGTTTAACAGTGAGAGAACACAAAAATCCTGTATGGTGACAGTATGTGCAAGTCATTCACATAATGAGTTAGTCAGATAAGGCTTCTCTACAATATGCAGCTAAAATCATGACACGCTTGTTGAACATTGACATTCAAATGGTAAACTAAGTCCTTCATTACCGTCCGCTCCAAACAACAGATAACTACTGTTGGCACAAGCCAATAAACACAGACTGAACGATGAAATATGGTCCCAGTGAGAGCAGGAGGCCGGGAGATAACGCCACTGAGGATGCACCAATCTGACGTTTTAAGGCCAACATTTGGGATCTTTCTTCTAAGCATTTTATCTAATAAAATATTGTTTTTTTAATGCATCAAAGCAAAACCCCACCCCTAATTAATTTCTCTCAAGATAAAAAATTGCATTAAAGTAAATGCTGTTGATGGATGCATTTATTTATGCTTCAAAATTGTGGTAGTTAACGGTTTTGATGCGTTTATTATCACTGATTAGGAAGGCCGTGATACATGAGCCGTTTGATTGGTGCATCTCTCAATGTCACTCCCTCTTTAATCAAGACAAACCTTATAAATAATCTGGTTTACTTAGCTTTCTCCACCTTTTTGTGTCCATTTTAAAAGAAATAAATTCCAGTTCCAACAAAGAAATAAATCCTTCAAACATAAACAGTATCTGATAAAGCCTGGGTTTTTGGTGAAATAGTGATCAGAGGAGAACAGGCTCATTTTAAATACTAAGTGCAGAACAGGAAGAAAGATCAAAGTGCAGAACAGAAGGCAGAAAAGACAGAGCTGAGGAAGACAAAAAGTCTTTGTCACAACATGGGCAGATTTCCTGGGACTAGTCTACTCTCATGCGGACTCATTTCTTAAGCTGGTGATGTCTTTAAAGCCAAATCAATGCTGTTTACACCAATGAACAAAGCCTGAAATTCACCTTTAAAATGCTTGAGAGTGGGGGGGGGATTTATACATTTATTAGTTAATCTTAGGCTGTGCTAATCAAACTTCAAATACGTCACTTTCATTTTCCACCTTTTGTCTTCCTAGCTGTTGTTTCAGCTACTGTCTCTTGCTCTTTCCTTGCCTGCTCTCTTTTTCTCTCTTAACTGTAGGGTAAAAGTAAGAACATTCTGTTTAGGATGGAAAACATTCTAGGGAGGAAACTTGAAAGTTACCTTCCCTGCTTTATATATTCTTACCTCAGATAAATGCATCCAATGCAAAAATTTGTTTTGGCCATTTTGTTTTCTGACATCACTGGGTCTGGCACTGGTTTTGATTTGTGTATTTTTTTTTCAAAGTCGGTTCCTCTGTTGATACGACCCTAGATTTGCGTTTTAGCCAGCGATCTTTATTTGGAATATTTTATAGGTAAAAACATTAAACATTAAAACCAATGTGCTCTAAAGCTACATTCACATCGGAGGCGTTACGGGAATCAAAAGCGTCTGGTTTACATGCAAAGTCTATGGGGGCCAGCGTCTAGGGGTCCAGCCGCACATTTCGAGCTTTCTGGCGTCCAGACATCGGAGCATTCGAGTCTCTGAGCATCCGACGCTGGAGTTCAGCAAATTTAACTTTTGGCGCTGGACGTCGGAACGTCATCCAATCAGAAAAGCTCCAGGAGTTTTTTGGGGGAGACAGACAGTCCCTGCAAGCTGTCATCACTTCTGCAGACATTCTGCATAAATATCAATGGAGTTAAACTCCAAAGGTAAAAAAAAAAACAAGCTGGAAAATTTTTTATGAACTGAAAAAAAGTTTATAAATACCCAAATTAACTAGAAATGTTAAAACCTGCTGACAAAAAATATTAGATTGTATATTCTGTAATATTTTTTTTTACCGCAACTATACTCACTTCCAGCCACTTCTAAAACATCCATGTTAGTAGCTAAACATCCCCATGATTTTTTAAAAGAGAGATTTTCCCGAATTATAAAAAATGGATTTGCGGGAATGGATCAGAGAATGCGACAATCCTGCAGTGAATTTCAGACCATGATGAAGTTCCAAAACTTTAATGCCAAATTGTTTCTACAATGCTAGGCTAAAGTAACAAATATGTCAAGATATCTGAAGCAAAGCCAATGGATAGGAGCTGAGACAGCAGTTAAAACTAGATCGCTTCCATATCTGGTGGCTTTTGGTGACAAATGCCCATGTTGTGTTACAAAAACAGGAAGGCAAAGGTGGGACATAAGCAGAGAAAATTTAAAGTAGAACAGATCTGGAGCAATTTCTGCAAAAACATAGAAAAAAAAAAATCTCTTCCATTCATTCTGCTTAGTAATACATGGCTTTGTAATACAAACAATTGCAAACATGGCAATACTGAAATAAATAAGCACAGAAAGATAACGGAACATTTTCCAAGGCCCTGACCAGAAGAAAGTAATGAGAAACTACTAAGCTAGGTGTACGGTTGTACGCACAGATCTGTGCTTTTCCTGCAATGTTTGTGAATGTGGTCTACGGAGGTCCAACATGGACACAATAAAGATAATAAGTCACTGAACTCATCGGTTCTCATTTCTCAAAACAAAGAAAAAATATTGATATTAAATATATTAAACATGCCAATTCCTAGTTGTTTTTAATTTTTGAAAAACATTCAATTATTTCACTTTGGTTGTTTCTGCAGATTTTTTTTCTACTTAAAATCCAGTGAGCAAAGCAAGTACTGCCCTGAATAATAATAATTAACAAATAATTAAGAAATTTCACTTTTAATAATCTGATTTTGCATTTTGTAGCAATTGGGAAAAACCTAAGAATGAATGAAATATCTCTAAAATATATAAACTTTTTAAATAACCTTTTTATTTACATTGTGGCCCCTCAGGCCCTCCGTAGATAACTGTCCATGGTTTATTTCCTTGGTTCTGGTCAAAGCTGTAAACAGTAGACCTCATCGTAGCCTTAATGGGTTCTCTATAGATGCTCCTCTGCCAGAAACACATTAAATATCTACGTTCAAGACATAACGCTTTAAAATCAGTGCTGTACCCTTAAACTATATAACATACCAGTTATGACATAAATATTCTGTCTGTCAGTGAAGCTAACGCTAAGCCGTTTAGCTTGTCCTGATGGTCTCTGTTTTATTTTTGTTCTGAAATGCCAGTAATCCTAAAAAAAACAAAAGGGGAGGCTGGCAACAAAAGTTCAATAAATAAAATACAGGATATATATATATATTATTTATTTTCATAAAGATTTATTTATGCTTAAAATAACATATTACTGTTTTGGCCTGACTCTGGTGCTCAGAGGCGGATTAAAACCGGTAAAACTCACCTGTTTTTGCATCATCGTGTCACAGTAATTGATGACTTGCTAAATATCTCATTGCTGAAAGATAGCTACCTTAATGATGAGAGGAAACACAGAGGAAGGATGAGATGGATGCTGATGCAGATTAACTGACTGGATCTTATGGCTTCTTTAGCGGCAGATGTTTCTACAAGCGTTTAACAGAGCCTATGGGGGCGAGCAGTGTGCTGGAGAAGATAACGCTTATCTAGAAAGTGATAAAGATGTGTGAGCACTTCAGCTTTTGGACAGAAATGTTTATTCATATTGTATCAGAGCACTATAAAAGAAAATGTGGACGATCTTATAGGTGGCAGCTGCAGGGTTTGGGCTTAGCTTAGACTCTGGTGAGGAAGCCCAGGTTCAGAGAGGTGGGGATCTGGATGGTTTCCAGGGCGAGGGAGGATGGGTTAAATGGGAAGGTGACTGGGTAAATCATTTTGGTGTCCATTAAGAGCTGAGGACTCTCAAAGCGGTCTCGCAAACGGGTCTGAAAGAGAAGAAGAGTTTACAGATCAGTAATTACAAGCAGAGAAACTTTGTCTAAAATGAACATAAAGTCTCTGACAGGAAACGCTTCACGTGCATTAATCTCCTCTCACATCCATTCCCTTTATCATTAGAACATCATCTTTCCATAAGCATGGTTTACCTGGATGGTTCGTATGAAAGCCACAGAAACTCTCTCCTCAAACTCATTAACGGGAGTGTAGAGGTTCAAGACCTTCACAATCTGGAAGAGAAGTCATTTTTAGAGCAGGGCTGTTTATGGTTGTGATTTTTTCCAAGATGCTGCTGAGCTTACCTGAGCAGTGGTGAGAGCGTGACACATGGTGCAGATGGCCTCTGCGTCTTCGTCCGTCTTCTTCTTCACTTGCAGCAGCTGAGCAGCCTGGATCAGAGGCTCCAGGGTCTCTTTGGCTCCGCAGTTCATCAAGCCTTTGTCTCTTAGCCACTCCTCCAGCTGGCTCACGTTGTACCTGCAGGTATGCGTGATCAGCTCTGCTCCTACGTTAAGATGAACCAAACCCTGCAGCCAGCGTCTCCTACCTGATCTGCATGCCTTTGCTCCAGGAGCACATGTCCTTGCGCAGCAGCAGGTTGTTTAGGGTGACGGCACCGATGATGTAGAACAGCTGCTTCACCACCTGCTTGATGAGCTCGGGGTCGGTGCCGTGCTGACACACGGTGGAGTGGAAGGCGCTGAGCTGCCGCACGATGGAGTCCAGGGTGTAGGTGCCTTCGTCGGCGATACTGGACGTTCGCTTACGGAGGCCTGTGGGCTTCACTCCGGACACGCCCTGGATGGTCTCATGTTCCAGCATCCCACATACTGAAAGGAAAAACAAAAAGCACTTGAACTATGTGATATTCTGGACATTAAAACTAAACTACAAACTGCTGTGTTTCTGACTTGCATCTGAGTAAATGAAAATGGAAAGTGTTTTTTATTTTAAAGCATTATAAAGATTCTCCATTAATTTAGACCTAGACTTTACTTAGGTCGTTCTACTGCAACGATATTCCTGAATTGAACCATTTCCTCAATGTTTACAATTTGATAGTTTGCAGCCTCCCAAATTTTCTTCCAGCCTCCATTTCTCTCCCTTCATTCATCCATCAGCTGCAGAAGAAAAACATCCTGTAAATGTGACATTAGGAGTAGAATCTACCCACCTATCATTGGCTGGAGGATGTTCTCCATGCATTTAACCAGCTGCTGGTAGATCTGAATGGCCAGGTCACTGATCACCTGCCTGTACTCTGCCAGGTCAAAGTTGGACAGACAATGCTCATTCTGCCTCACCGAGTTGTGCTTCATAAAAGCCTGGAGGACAAACACAAAGCAGCCTTAAAAAAAGATCAAAAGCAGCACTATTCCCACTTCAGATCATCAGGAATTAAGGTTAATAATAAGAAATAAGGAAAGTAATGTTAAGTGTATATATAAAACCTTTTTAACAAGCAAATGTAGCAGGAAATTTGAATTATTCTCTGAATATTCATGCTGTTTATTCCTTCTTTGATTGTTTATTCGGTTTATGTACATTAATGAATACCTGAATGTTTGTGAGGTTATCTTCCATCTATAAACATTCAGAGGCAAGAAAGAAATAATCTAACCAGAAACAAAAGGACATAATGGAGCATTAATTCCCATATAAGAGCAGACAGAGGTTGAGGCTTCATCAAGGCCAAATGCTGGGTTAATATATTGGGCTTTTAATTAGAGAAGCATGATGCGATTAGAATGACTGTGATCATGGATCAGTGGGTCAGAGAAAGCACAACAAGAAAGATGGCAACAACTTTTTAACAGTTCTAGCTTGATTCATCTTTGGAATCAGTTTTGGAAGGATTAGACTTGGAGTTTTCGTTGAAACGTGAGCAGGAAGAGGCTCTACGCTCATTCATTTTTAAGAAGGACGTATTTGCCGTTTTACCGACAGGCTGTTTGTTCACACTGCCCCCACCAGCTTTCTGTCACTCTTACTACCGTATTTTCACGACCATAAGGCGCACCGGACTAAAAGGCGCACTCTCAGTTATGTGTCCCATTTCTGTATTTAACACACACATAAGGCGCACCGGACTATAGGGCGCGTTTTTTATATACAGGTACAAGTCCTCTACTACCTTTAAATACCTCTACTGCGTACTTAAAAATACAGCGGGGGCAAAACTGAGTATGATTGTGCTTTATTCATGTATTTATTACAAAGTATTAATCAAACCTGGCAGCTGGCCGTGAGACAGAGACATCGCAGATGACACAGCGCTGTGATCACTCCTAAATTAACTTAAAATCCTGAAACCTGCTGACGGAATATGTTCGCTTTTATTGCCGGTATCCTGGTGCCTGCAGCTAAAATTATTTAGATGAAAAACACCTGCCAGCCGCCGCGGTGAGGCTGCTGATGAAGAGATTTCTGCTGTCAGCGCACCGCTGGTATGTGGGGGTCTGAGCGCCTCCGACAGAAATAGATAATCTGGATGAACTGACTGCAATTATGAAGTTTTCAGGTGGACTTTCTCACTTAAAAACATATTAAAACTACTTTATTCCCACTGATCACAGCAAATATAGCTGCAAGATTTAGATTATTTAGATGAAAAAACACCTGCCAGCCACCGCGATGAAGAGGAGGAGACGCGCCGGGGCTGCTGTTGAATTAAGTTTTCAGGGAGAAAAATAGAGCGGGAGCAAAACTGAGTATGATTGTGCTTTATTCATGTATTTATTACAAAGTATTAATCAAACCCATCAAAGTCATCATCCTCTGTTTCTGAATAAAACAGCTGCGCTAAATCAGACATGCCAGTTTCCCCTTCTTCGCTGTCAGTCACTTTCCGTGCAGCGCAGCTCCTCAGAAATAATGCCGGCTTTTGCGAAAGCTTGAACAACAGAGCCAGCAGACACTTTAGTCCAAGCATCTACAATCCATCCGCAAACTGTGGCGTAATCTGCCCGGCGCTGCCTTCTTATCCTGAAACTGTGGTCTCCGTCGGTCATCCACCGCTCCCACGCCGCTCGCAGCCTTACTTCGAACGGCTGCTTCACACCGATGTCGAGCGGTTGAAGCTCCTTTGTCAGACCCCCGGGATAACGGCGAGCACAGCGTTCATTTGATTCACCTTTTTTTCACATCGGCTGTGAGATGGGCACGCAGCGATGGTGATGCGTGGAAAAAACCACCTAGTCTTCTCACATACACCTGCCTCAGCCACGCATCCATCCAGCCTTTTCCATTTGCGTTAATATCATATGTCATCAGAGCGCTGTCTGTCTCGCTGGCAGCTCCCAGATCAGCTTCTCTGATTGGTTGATGCGGCGCGTCCAGCAGCAAAACTTCAATTTTTCCATCTCGAGCAGCAGAAGCGCGGCGCTTCAGATGCTTAAACGCTCCCGACGTGCTGCACCAAAATGCGCTGCGGGACCTTTTGCTGCACCTATATGCGCGTCAACCATTGACTTTGCATGTAAACTCGCTGCTTCTGCTGCACCTGATGCGTCCGGTTCACACCGATGTCGAGCAGCGTTAATTTGTTTCCCCATGTTTTTCACATCAGCTGTGAGATGGGCACGCATGGAGTTACATATTAACAGCGATGGTGAGGGGTGGAAAAAAAACACCTGGTCTCCTTACATTCAGCCACTCTTTCATCATCTCCTCAATGAGGTGGTCTCAAAAGTCGCAGTTACAACACACATAGGGCGCACCGCACCATAGGGCGCACCGCACATTTTGAGGAAAAAAAAGACGTTTAAGTGCGCCTTATAGTCGTGAAAATACGGTAAGTCAGTTGTGTCAACAATCTTCTGATGTCTCATTCATCGGGGCCAGACTAAATTACACATTTAATCTCACATTTAGTCTGGTTTATCAGGCTAGGATAAATACTCATTTTGTTGTTCATGGCAGGTTTACCAGCCAGAGTTCTGACTTTGAATCTGAAAGGGAATGGAGGGAGGGTTTGCTGAGTGATTTAGCTAAAAATCGTATTAAAAGTGTGATGTGGTCTTCATTTTCCTCTGCACTAATCAGAGCTCCATTGGCCTTGTATGACCTCTTATCCAACATTCTGGGACTTAAGTTCTTACTTCTAGCTGCCATAAATCTATCTGCCCACTAGTTGCAGTTCACTCTTTCATTTTTCATTAAATGTAACAAAACCAAAAGTTAAGAACCTCTGAAATTTGGAAATTGTATTTTTTTATAAGTTGAAAATACATTGTAAATGCATTTATTTCTCCATCCATGGGAGCCCAAGATTAGGGTGATGGCATGCATGCTTTCCATTCTGGAAGACGGGGAGCTCATTATAAATTGTCTCAAACATGGATAATAAATCGTTTTTTTATTATCTTCAGCTTCTTCGTTATCAGTTTGAGACTCTTATAAGAAGCGATAGTTCCTTCTTATTTTACCACCTAAAGAGAAAGTAGACGAGGCCATAGTTTGGATGTGCCTGAGAGAACGAAGCGTCTTTGAAAGCATCAGTGTTGTCGTGTTTTTGTGCACAGGTGTGCTGCTGTCACCTGCTCTCCGCTGTATTGTTTCAGACAGTGCAGGAAGCGGCAGGTGTTGGCCAACCAGAACGAGACCGTCTCAAAGTCATCTCCACGTTTCTGAGAGAAGAAAGAACCGTATCAATCTGCTCCTACTAACAAACCATTCTATTCTCATAAATCTATGTCACGCCCCCTCATTCTTCTCTGTTGGACCTGAATTCAATAAACTAACCTTGAGGATCTTCTTGATGCTGTTAATGGTTGACGTGAGCAGAGTGCGAACTTTCTGGTCATCGTTGACGTAGTCTGCGTGTCTCAGACACATGAACAGGATGTAGGCTGGCAGACCTGGGATCAGATTTACAGCCACGCCGCGAGGTTTCAGTTCTGGGAAGACAAAACATTTTTAGAGATGCTACCTTTCATAATGAACTTGCTCCTATATCATAAGTCATATTAGCTCAGGAAGTGTGGGGAGTGGAGGCAGAATCCAGGGAAACTCAGAGATGTACAATCTGCCTTAAACAAAAAAAAAAATCTCCTTTCATACCCAGAATTAGGTTCTTAACCAGCTTCATTTCATCCTCCTTCTTGTACTCCAACATTCCCTGGAAGTCCTTCTCCCTGCGGGGAATGTTAACAGGATGGATGGGCTCCTCCACCATCTGTCCCGGAGACGTCTGTCCTTCCGTTTGACCCGCTGGGAAACACATTTCACAACACATTTAGCTAAATCTCATTTATATGAACTAAAAGGACTGTTTTTCTTCCTGGTCAGTGAACACATCAGCAGGAAGTAGCATTAATGCTCCACTGTAGAAGATGATATGATGAAAAAAAAAATGCATCAGTGAAGTGTGAGGAACAAAACCTAAAAGTCGCTCCTTTCTCAGGTTCTATTTTTGTTATCTTGTGCCAGATTTTCTAAGTGAAAAGAAATTGATTTTTCACATTGGGGGAAGCTGTAGCTGACCTGGGAGAAGTTTCTTGGGTAGGAAATGACTAACATAATCTCTGCGTTAAGGTACGTAAATAAGGTGAGAAAAATAGTTGATTATTCTGGTCTTGTTTGAAATGAGTGAAAGCATATTTTACAGTGATTAATTTCACAGATTAATGCTGTTTATGGATTTGAACCAATTTTTTGGGCTGAGAACAGTCACCATTTAAAAAAACAAAACAAAAACCAATTCCACCGATCGCCTATCACAGTCCAAAGGTCCCGTACCGCCCATCTCTCCGATCCTCTTGGAATAAACCTTCAGCTGCTTCTTGAGTTTGCGAATGGTTCGATCCTGCTTCTCCAGCTGCTCCATCAGATCCTAAAACACAGCGAGAGAAGAAGAGGAGAGAAGAGTGAGGCCTGACTTGAAGGGAATCACAATAACGTCACCCTTAAGTGGTAAACAAGAAAGAGAGAGAGACCAAAAACAAAGGCAAGTGGGTCAGAGTTAGAGCTGCGGTGCTGATTATTGCTTCAGAGGAGGAAAGGCTGTGGGACTCTAGCTGTTACAAAGAAGAGTGTGCAGAGTTAAAGCCAAGGTGGAGCTGTTGCTCAGATTACGTCTATCTGGATTAATGCGCTCTCTGGCACGCATGCAAGCACACACAGACTCTACATACAACCATCCGTCGTAAAATGATGACTCGAGCCTCTCTGGATGCGGTAGGGTCGTCGGCCATGATTTCCTGTCAGGTGACAACATCCACACAGTGAACCTGTGCTGTCGTTTAGCTTCTTTATGTGTGGCCCAGAATAAAAGTCACGATACGCTATAGTAAAAGACGGTTAATGTGGGTAAAATCACACCGTCCCATTATTAAAGTTTTAAAGTCACCATTACAGCTGGAAGAGAATAACGCGCCCCAGCTGGTAAAGTGCTTCAATTAAACACGTCTGACTGCTTATCTGCTCATGATGATGCTTGGGAGCGTACCAGGTTCTCGTTGGTGAGCCGGGTGATCTCATGCTGCAGGCTGGCTTCGATTCGGGCCTCCGGAGGCAGCTGGAGGTTTTGGGCCAGCAGCTGCTGCTGCCGGTTGTTCTCCTCTTTCACGTTCTGCAGCTCGCCGCGCAGCGACTCCACCTCGCTGTCGTACGTTCGCCGCTGGGTCTGAAGCTGCTGCTCCAGTAACCTGTAGAGGAGGAAGGAGAAAGAAAATGATCTCAGACACACAAAGAGAGTTTGATTCGAAGGAGGTGATGCAGGCTGGCAGCGGCATGCTGTAAAGAGACTCGGACAGTTCAATGGTCCTGAGGAGGCTTTTAAATTTAGTCCTTTGGAGGCATTCAGGTAAAAAAAAAGGTAGAAAAATCTGACAGAGATCAGAGTTTTTAATTCAGCAAATAGTCTAGCATGCAACAGCTGCATTTGTATCTAAAATCAACAGAAACCAAAGAAGAAAATCTAGTAAAATGTACCATAAATGCACCAGGGAGCGTTATCACAGATCCTTCCTCCCAGCAGCTGGAAGACTTTATAGCCACCACTGTTCCCAATAACCTCACTAAATTGTTATATTCATGCTGATTATTGATTTTCTATTATCCAGATACAGAGCATTTATATTGTAAAAAAAACTGTAAAGTACAATATTATTTTCATACATTTTTCTAAGGTCCATATTGTGTGACCACTTTTGCTATAATCTTTTTGCTGCTGTAACACTAGAGGTGTGGGAAAAAATATTTTTGGCAATATATCATGATTTTGGCTGCCTGATATAATATTGATCTTTCAGTTTCTAGAATTTATTTTTAAAAAACAAAAGATTTTCACCTAAAACTGAGGGAAAATTGGGTACCTCTGCACCACCACTCTGGCAGATAGTGAGTGCTCTGGCGCCCTTTGCTGTGCGGCACAGCGCCATATCTATAGTTGGGCCAGTCACACTGAAAGACGTGGCTGATTCAAACCCCAAACAACATGGATACCAAAATAATTAAATGATCAATATTACCTGATTAACATTTACAGCACTTGCTCTTTTATATGTACAGATTTAATTTTGATAGCTGGGAAAAATATCGTATCGTGATTAAAGTAATGTGATACGTTATCTAACCCTATCTAACACCACAATTTCCTGTTTATGGGACAATAAAGGGATTTTCTATTCTATTTTACTCTAAAAAAAAAAAAAAAAAAAAGAACTCTTAGCTTGTGAGCTTTTTCTGAGCCCCACTCCCAGCCTGCATCTCTAGCATGCCTACAGCTAATTTGCACGATAGGAGGACATTTATTTGCACTTATTCAGGACAAATCAAACAGCAGGACATCTCTACAGCATCACAGCTGAATTAGTATTTAGTGCATCTGTTCAATGAAGAATTATTCACACAGTTAATAATAAAAAAGAAAATAAATGTTAGAAACCAAGAAGACTTGTGGTTTTCTTTAAAACCATCTTAACTAGAATATGTTAAATATGGGAAAAAAGGGAAATATATTTTGTCACTTATTTAAGGAAGTGAAACATGGATTTTAGAAATAAAAAAAAAAGTATAACATTTAAATATTTGATTGATTATAGCAAAATGCGCCTGAGAAAATTAAAATATTGTGGAAAAGTAAAATGATCTGAAATGAATCTTCCAAATTTGAGTTAATTCACTTAAAACATCTGCAAAGCCTTCCTGGTTCTCTAATCTTAGGCTACGCTAAAGCTGCAGGTCTTTATGCTTGGCTCCATTTTTTTTCTAGTATTTGATCTTTTTGGGTTGTTTTTTCATCTTACCAATTAAATATGAATCCTGAGTTATTGGTTCAGGACATCAAAGCGACCTGCATGCCTTACATTGCAGCACATTGTTTACAGAACTAATAATTGATCTGACTGTCACTAGATCTGTTTAATGAGGCTTTTTTTTTTAAACAAAAGAAATACCTAATAATGGATGCTTGTGCCTTTGTTCTCATTAATAAACTCTGCTGCTGCAGAGTAGGAGTCCGGATTATGATGTAAAAGTTGGATAAAATGTAGCGTTCAGACTGCAGAGGCTTTATTCCATATGTGAAAGTGGATCACTCAAAACGCTGTGAAACATTCACATATAGGTGAAAAGATTGGATTTGTCAAAAGGACAGCGTCCTTAAAAGGAAGCGAAACCACAAAGTATCATTAAGATAAAGTGATTATTCAAATACTTCTGAGGCCAAGCTTGTTAAAGAAAGTTGAGTGGAAGAAAAAGTGGTAGAAAGAGGTATACCAACAACAGGGATGAATGTAGACTTGAGAATTCCTTTTAAAGGATGTTTGATGAACTAATTAATGCAAACAGAGCCTAAGCTAATTAATAGAGCTTAGAGTTTAACACTCTTAAGGAGCCAGACTTTTCCATTCTATCTCTATTCTCCCACTCTGCAGAATCTGTTCAACCTCTAACACTTTGCTCTGCTTTTTCTCATAGTAGCTTCATCTGGTCTGTTCCTGATTGGCTGTGACTCCATCCTGGAGAGAAATATCAGCTGTGCTGCTTTGTTTATAGATGTTGAACATGAACCTGTTTTTCAGTGTAGTCCTGTTTCTCTTACTTTGATTAACTGGATGTGCTCTCTTCATCCTCTGACATGGGAGCTGGCTCAGAGCTTGTCTGCCTGGCTGTGTGTTTCCTAGACAGGGTCGCCTTTTACAGTTACGTCTGTATCTCTGCTTCTGTCTCCTTGAACCACAGTCGGCCTCAGCAGATGGCCGCTCACACTGAATCTGGTTCTGCTGGAGGTTTCTTCCTATTAAAAGGGAGTTTTTCCTCTCCACTGTTCTTAGTGTGAGGGATTGTATTTGAGTCAATGAGTCGATGCAATCAACTGGTTTTTCTTAGATAGAAAACTTGGAATCAATCTGACTGGATTATCTGGTGAACTGTAAAGTGCCTTGAGATGACATGTGTTGTGAATTGGGGCTATATAAATAAACTGAATTTAATTTAATTAAATACTCTGTACATGAGTATAATATATTAAATCTGCTTTCCTGATTATTGGAGGTATACCCCTAGCATAAAAAGGTCCAGATTACAGATTACAGTGAGGATTAGTAACAGAATGAAAACTCTTTAACCTCCAGTAGAAACGAGGTTCTGATGTGAAAGCAGAATGAAACACAGAGAGAAGATAAAGAGAGCACTCGTTCCATCCCGGACTAAAACCAAACACATCATGCTCTGAAGACACCATGTGCTTGAGCCCCAGTTACACCTGATGGTTTCCTTTAAGCCCTGATTAACCAGCCAGAGCTCCCCGTCCTCATTCAGTTTATGTAGGTCTGGAGCAGCGGATCTGACCAACACACAGCACAGAGGGACATGAATGACAGGAAGATAAGAGGGACAGCCGACACAGCTGGAAAACAACATGAATGATATGAAAAAATGAAATCTATCATCTGATCTAAGATGTCTGTATAGAAAAAACCTAAAATATAGTTCTATAGTGCAAAAATACACTGCACTAGCACTGGAACGGGTCTACTGATTAAAAATGTAGTAAAATAATAAATATGTATAAATGAAAACATTTAGTTTAGAATGACTCTCTCTGGTTAGTTTTGATTAATCAATTAATTATCTGCTGCTTTAGTCTTAATTTCAACATTTTTAGCCGTCAGTTTTGAACATTTTAATCAATAGTTAGTTCATAGCCAATCAGAGCAATCCACTAATCTCTTTTCACTGGATTGCTGATAGGCCGTTGGTAGTACAGGGTGCTGTGAAGTCACCTGCCGCCATATTGGTACTCCCTAGTCAGGCCGGTTGGAATGTACACAACAGAGGATCTCCATCTGAAGTTAAGTTATTTTCTCTGTGATATCTCTGTATCTAAGTAACTCTAACTGACTACTTTAAAACATAGCACCTTCTGCTGCACTTTTCTACTGAGCACTTGTCAGTTTCACACGGTTTTATTTCTGATAGCAAGAAGTAGCTAGCCTAGGCTAGCGCTAGCTTAGCATTGCTATGGCTTCTCTCTCTCCCTCCCTTGACTCTTTTCCAACTCTTCCTTCTTCCTCTCCTCTCTCCTGCTCTCTGTGTCAGATGTTCAGTTATTCCTCTGCCTCCTTTAGTGATAATGGGATGTGTAATAAGTGTAGTATTTTTGTAGCTTTGGAGGCGTGGGTGTCAGAGTTAGAATCCAGGCTTCAGGCTGTTGAAGTAGGCCCCCCACGTAGCTGTCCTCCAAAAGTGCCTGAGCAGCCAGGCGATTGGGTAACTGTACGCAGAAAGCGTAGTCGTGGATCTCTGCCCACTGGTCACCACCAACCCGTTCACGTTTCTAACCGGTTTTCCCCACTCAGTGACACACCCACTGAGAAGCCCACTCTGGTGATTGGCAGCTCCATAGTCAGAAACGTGGCATTAGAGACACCAGGGACCATAGTCAAATGTTTGCCGGGGGCCAGAACGGGCGACATCAAATCCTACCTGAAACTACTGGCTAAGGATAAGGTTAAATACAGTAAGATTGTTATTCACGCTGGTGGTAATGACACCCGGTTACGCCGATCGGAGGTCACTAAAATTAGTGTTGCTTCGGTGTGTAAGTTTGCCAAAAAAATTTCGGACTCCGTAATTTTCTCTGGTCCCCTCCCTGATCTGACCAGTGATGACATGTTTAGCCGCATGTCGTCATTCAATCGCTGGTTGTCTAGGTGGTGTCCTGAAAACAACGTGGGCTACATTAATAATTGGCAATCCTTTTGGGGAAAGCCTGGTCTGATTCGGAGAGACGGCATCCATCCCACTTTGGATGGTGCAGCTCTTCTTTCTAGGAATCTGACCACATTTATTAGTCCTCCAAAACCCTGACCACCCAGGGTGCAGACCAGGAAGCAGAGTTGTAGTTTAACACACATCTCTGCAGCTTCTCTACTGTTACCCACTCTTTACTCCATCCAGACAGTGTCTTGCCCACGACCAAAATCTAATAAATTAGCAAAGATTCCCAAAGGAGTAAATCATGATAATCTAATTAAAATCAAAATAACTCCAATTGGGGAAAAAGTTAAAACAATTAAATGCGGTCTGTTTAACATAAGATCGCTTTCCTCTAAAAGTCTACTAGTTAATGACTTGATTTGTGATAATCACATTGACTTGTTTTGCCTTACAGAAACCTGGCTGCAGCAAGAGGATTATGTGAGCATAAATGAGGCAACTCCTTCAAGCTATTTAAATTTTCACATCCCCAGAAGTTCTGGGCGAGGAGGAGGAGTAGCAACAATCTTCGAGTCTGACTTACTGATTACTCCCAAAACAATTAATTCCTACAACTCTTTTGAACATTTAACGCTTAATTTCCCTGATCCAAATTTCAAGGCAAGAAAACCTCTTCTTTTTGTAACTTTGTATCGTCCACCAGGTCCTTACTCTGAATTTTTAGATGAGTTTTCAGAGTTCCTTTCTGATTTGGTATTAAATACTGACAGGGTCATCATAGTGGGAGATTTTAACATCCATGCTGACATTGAAGGCGATAGCTTAAGAGCAGCCTTTAATGCTATCTTAGACACTATTGGCTTTGTTCAAAATGTGAATAGTCCCACGCATTCTCATCTTCATACTTTGGATCTTGTGCTGACATACGGCATAGAATGTGAAGAAATAACAGTATTTCCTCACAACCCTGTCCTCTCTGACCACTTTCTAATAACCTTCAGGATTACTTTAACAGAGTTCTCCTCCCCCAAAAGAAGGTTCAATTTTAGTAGATCTTTATCAGATAGTGCAGTTATAAATTTTAAAGAATCTGCTTCACTTTCTCTCTGCTCTGTGTCACTGAGCAGTGCTGCAGAGTGCAAAAGCTTAGCTTATTCCCCTTCACAGGTTGATGATTTTGTTGAGGGGGTTGCTAGTTCTCTGCGTATTGCCTTAGACAACGCAGCTCCTTTGAAAATGAAAACCGTTAAAAATAGAAAGCTTGCTCCTTGGTTTAATGCAGAGCTGCGTACTTTGAAGCAAAATGCTAGGAAACTGGAGAGAAAATATCGCTCCACAGGCCTGCGAGAGTCCTTCCTAGTCTGGAAAAATGGTTTACTGCTGTATAAGAGGACCCTTTGTAAAGCAAGAGCAGCATACTTCTCCTCATTAATAGAGGAGAATAAGAATAATCCTAGATTTCTTTTTAATACAGTTGCCAAACTCACCCAGAGCCATAGCTCTGTTGAACCGTCCATTCCACCTGCTCTTAGCAGCAATGATTTTATGGGATTCTTTATAAATAAGATTGATCTTATTAAAAATAAGATCATAAGCACTCCTCTATCCGCGATTGTACCTGAGGTAGTCATGGAATCTGAACCGGGTTTAGACTGCTTTGATCCAGTTGAACTCTCTGAATTAGCAAAATTATTGTCTTCATCTAAGCCTTCAACTTGTATGTTAGATCCAGTTCCAACCAGGTTATTTAAGGAGGTATTCCCTTTGATCTCCTCCTCCATTTTAGATGTGATTAATCTATCTCTGTTACAGGGATATGTACCTAAAGCTTTTAAGATTGCTGTAATTAAACCTCTGCTTAAGAAACCGTCTCTTGACCCAGACGACTTGGTCAATTATAGACCTATATCCAATCTTCCTTTCTTATCCAAAATTCTTGAGAAAGTAGTTGCCAAACAAGTTTGCGATCACTTCCACCATAATGAACTTTTTGAAGAGTTTCAGTCTGGCTTTAGAGCTCATCATAGCACTGAAACAGCTCTGGTGAAAGTCACTAATGATATTCTCATGGCCTCAGATAATGGACTTGTATCTGTGCTCGTCCTGTTGGATCTTAGTGCTGCATTTGATACAGTTGACCATAATATTCTTTTAGAAAGACTTGAATATTTTGTTGGAATTAAAGGAACAGCACTAGACTGGTTTAAATCTTATCTATCTGATCGAATTCAGTTTGTTCATGTTAATGATAGATCTTCAACACGCTCAAAGGTTACCTGTGGAGTACCACAGGGATCAGTGCTAGGACCAATTCTCTTTACTTTATACATGCTCCCAATTGGTAGAATTATTAGACAGCATGGGATTAATTTCCACTGTTATGCTGATGATACCCAGCTATATCTGTCAATAAATCCAGATGAAGCTAACCCATTACATAGATTACAGGCATGTCTTGAAGACATAAAAACCTGTATGACTCTTAATTTTCTGCTTCTGAATGCAGACAAAACAGAAGTTATAGTCTTTGGACCAGAGTCTCTGAAAAAGAAACTGATTAGCCAGTCACTTCATTTGGATGGGATTAAACTGATTTCAGATAATAAAGTAAAAAATCTTGGTGTTATTTTTGATCAGGACCTGTCATTTAAATCCCATATCAAAGAGGTTTCTAGAATTTCCTTCTTTCATCTGAGGAACATTGCAAAAATTAGAAATATCCTGTCCAGGGGTGATGCTGAGAAACTAGTCCATGCATTTGTTACTTCAAGGCTGGACTATTGTAATTCTTTACTATCAGGAAGTCCACAAACTGTAGTTAAAAGCCTTCAGCTGATCCAAAATGCTGCAGCCAGAGTTCTAATGAAAATGAAAAAGAGAGATCATATCTCTCCTATCCTGGCTTCTCTTCATTGGCTTCCTGTTAAATCAAGAATAGAATTTAAAATCCTCCTTCTCACATATAAAGCCTTAAATGGCCAAGCTCCATCTTATATCAGAGATCTGATTGTTCCTTATGTTCCTAACAGAGCACTTCGCTCTCAATCTGCAGGTTTACTAGTGGTTCCTAGAATTTCTAAAAGTAGAATGGGAGGCAGATCTTTTAGTTATCAGGCTCCTCTCCTGTGGAACCAACTACCAGTTTTAGTCCATGAGGCAGACACCCTGTCTACTTTTAAGGCTAGGCTTAAAACTTTCATTTTTGATAAAGCTTATAGTTAGGGTGGCTCAGGTTATCCTGAGCTATCTCTATAGTTATGCTGCTATAGGCTTAGACTTTTGGAGGACATAGGGACCCCCATTTCATCATTCTGCTTCATTCTCTCTCTGTTCTCCTATTCTGCAGAATCTGTTAGTTCAATCTCTAACCTTCTGCTATCTCTGCTTTTCCTCAGAGTAGCTTTGCCTCGTCTGTTCCTGTTTGGCTGTGACGTCATCCTGGAAAAAAACATCAGCTGTGCTGCTTCTATCAACACCCTTGTTAATAGATGTTGGAGATCGGCCTGTTTTCCAGTGTGGTCCTGTTTCTCTGACCGTGACTGAGTGGATGTGCTCTCTTCGTCCTCTGGCATGGGAGCTGCCTTGGAGCTCGTCTGCCTGGCTGTGTGTTTCCTGGACGGGGCC